CAGTTTTCATACATAAGGTGCACAGAATGATAAGGCGCATTAAGCGAAACAAAACAGTCAGATTAGTCAAACTTTACGCAACTCATTCTTCTTGCTTCCTCCACTTCTGTACCATTGATTCAATAATGATGAATTCTCTCACAGCTGCTCTATTCCCATGTTGTTGCACTATATTAATGACTAACCTCATATTGTGGATGGATTATCTCAGTTGTTCTTCTGACTGAAGTTTGGTCTGTTTACAGCATCCTGCCATGCGACTGCATTTGTCCCTAACCATCGGGAACCCTCAAGTTAACTTTATAGAGTGGAAAAAAGTTAGAATTCATCCTCGAGCTTTAGTGTTTATGTTATGCTTACGTAGCTGTTTTGCTAGCGATCACATAGGACATCAATATATACCAGCTAGCCCATCTTCAGTAACCCTACCAACGTCACTGCTGTTTATTTTTCTGTCTTAATTTATTTTGGAAGTGATAACAGAGCTATACGTTTTAGTTTTTTCAGAAATCTCTCAGTCAGAACATGGCATCCGGTCTTAAGTCTGACGTCATTAGCCATGTCTGGATCCAAACTCCGCTGCAGATCCCAAAGCCAAACCATCATTGCCGAAAGAGGCTGACAGTGATCACTGACTGTTTGTTGAGATTAAACAGAACAAGATACAGTGGGGCAAAAAAGTATTTAGTCAGCCACCGATTGTGCAAGTTCCCCCACTTAAAATGATGACAGAGGTCAGTAATTTGCACCAGAGGTACACTTCAACTGTGAGAGACAGAATGTGGAAAAAAAATCCATGAATTCACATGGTAGGATTTGTAAAGAATTTATCCGTAAATCAGGGTGGAAAATAAGTATTTGGTCACCTCAAACATGGAAAATCTCTGGCTCCCACAGACCTGTAACGTCTTCTGTAAGACGCTTTTCTGTCCCCCACTCGTTACCTGTATGAATGGCACCTGTTTGAACTCATCATCTGTATAAAAGACACATGTCCACAGCCTCAAACAGTCAGACTCCAAACTCCGCCATGGCCAAGACCAAAGAGCTTTCGAAGGACACCAGGAAAAGTATTGTAGACCTGCACCAGACTGGGAAGAGTGAATCTACAATAGGCAAGCAGCTTGGTGTGAAAAAATCAACTGTGGGAGCAATCATCAGAGAATGGAAGACATACAAGACCACTGATAATCTCCCACGATCTGGGGCTCCACGCAAGATCTCATCCCGTGGGGTCAAAATGATCATGAGAACGGTGAGCAAAGATCCCAGAACCACACGGGGGGACCTGGTGAATGACCTGCAGAGAGCTGGGACCAAAGTAACAAAGGTCACCATCAGTAAAACACTACAACGGCAGGGAATCAAATCCCGCAGTGCCAGACGTGTTCCGCTGCTGAAGCCAGTGCATGTCCAGGCCCGTCTGAAGTTTGCCAGAGAGCACATGGATGATACAGCAGAGGATTGGGAGAATGTCATGTGGTCAGATGAAACCAAAGTAGAACTTTTTGGTATAAACTCAACTCATCGTGTTTGGAGGACGAAGAATACTGATTTGCATCCCAAGAACACCATACCTACTGTGAAGCATGGGGGTGGAAACATCGTGATATGGGGCTGTTTTTCTGCCAAGGGGACAGGACGACTGATCGGTGTTAAGGACAGAATGAATGGGGCCATGTATCGTGAGATTTTGAGCCAAAACCTCCTTCCATCAGTGAGAACTTTGAAGATGAAACGAGGCTGGGTCTTCCAACATGACAATGATCCAAAACACACCGCCCGGGCAACAAAGGAGTGGCTCCGTAAAAAGCATTTGAAAGTCCTGCAGTGGCCTAGCCAGTCTCCAGACCTCAACCCCATAGAAAATCTGTGGCGGGAGTTGAAAGTCCGTGTTGCTCGGCGACAGCCCCAAAACATCACTGCTCTCGAGAAGATCTGCATGGAGGAATGGGCCAAAATACCAGCTACTGTGTGTGCAAACCTGGTAAAGACCTATAGTAAACGTTTGACCTCTGTTATTGCCAACAAAGGTTATGTTACAAAGTATTGAGTTGTATTTTTGTTATTGACCAAATACTTATTTTCCACCCTGATTTACGAATAAATTCTTTACAAATCCTACCATGTGAATTCATGGATTTTTTTTTCACATTCTGTCTCTCACAGTTGAAGTGTACCTCTGGTGCAAATTACTGACCTCTGTCATCATTTTAGGTGGGGGAACTTGCACAATCGGTGGCTGACTAAATACTTTTTTGCCCCACTGTACAAAGTATTAAAACAAGTTAAAAACACAACAGCCTTATTAAATGGAGAATAGTTTGGGCCCGAAAGCAAGATTCATCACGTCTTCACTTAAAGTCTAGTTATCATGTTTTGGTGGAAGCTAGCGAGCTAACTTCCATCTAACTACTAACATCTAGTTTGTGAAACAAAGAAATCCCTCGCAGTTTAACCATCACAGGTAGTTTTTTCCTGTGCCTGTGTTCACGATAAAGCTCTGAACCACAGAGTAAGATTATTTATAGCTCTGTGCTGAGGCTGAGCTGCAAGATCAGACTGCACATCTGACAGTGTGATGTTAAAAAGATGGAAATCAGATCAACCGCCAACTAAAAGTCAGCTGAAACAGACTCTACAGTAATTAGAAAGCAGGCTACATTATGAGTTTTAGTACTGCTAATTAGAGCCGTCCTTTTAAAATGATGCCATCAAAGTTCACTTCACTGCTGAAAAACAGATAGTGACCTCAGTCTCACAGGGGTTATCAATGACACACTGTTCCTTTTGCTTCTGTCATCTAGAGCGGGTCAGCTACTAATACAAGGTTGCTGGTTCAATCCCTAGCTGCTCCAGGCTTCATGTTCCAGTATCCTTGGGCAAGATACTGGTCCAGAGTTGCTCCTGATGCTTTCATCATTGTGTCAATGTTAGACTGAAAACACTTTGCAACACAGTTACACAACTAAGGATGTAGTAGACACACAGTTCTACATGTGGATGTCACACGTTTTATGGATGTAATAGGTTGCAGTAAACTGCAGTGCCAGCAGAGGGAGACATTTTATTTCAAGCCAACATGAAAACAGTCATGGAAAACATTTAAAGAAACATTATTAACAGATTTAGATCTGCCGCCTAGCTCAATCATTTCTGGCATCTGGTATGTACTTCATACCTTCCTTGGTCATTTGCAACTGTGTCTGAATAATTGAGACTTGCTGTATAAAGTGTTTTGAGTCCTCAGGTAGAATAGAGCAGAGTTTTATAAGAACCAATGCATTTACATTTGACTTGTAGCCTGAGTCATTATGACATGCAATGTGGACTGATTGTTGTACAGCCATCTCTGCTAGACTTGAGCACCCAAAATGCTTAATATACAGAATTTAATGAGCAGGCTTCAAAATGTTTAACTTATTTAGACTAATTTCATTAATAATCCATTTTCCAGTTCCATTTACTCCAATATTTTAAAAACCATAACACTGGTTCACAGACCCATGATCATGACAATAACTCCAGGACCCTTGGTACACTGTTCACTTTACATCAAGGACATGCTGGCAGGTGAGAGTGGAGTGGGATCTCAAATTTAATTTACATTAACTGTGATTTCTCTTTCTTCAAAGTAGAACATCTGTGGATGAGAGAGCTGCAGGACTGTGATGATGGGGAATACTTTGCTGGCATTATTCTGTAAGTACACTGATTTTCTCTGTTTGTGTGCCACTAACTGAGAAAAAAAAATCTTTCTGTTACTTTGAGAGTTTGATTAGATCCAGTTGGTTTTTTTTTGTTTTGTTGTTATTGATTTAAACATTTTTTAAAGTTACTTTGAGTTGAGTTTCTTTTACTTCTTCATTATTTTACAAATTACAAAAAGTCAATTATGTTTTTGTGATGTTTCGAGCCTGTTTATTATCACATAATATATGGGTACAAATATGTTGATGGGGCATCTGAAAAATCTGTTTATGATTGATAAAGTGTGGATATTAATCTTTATTCTAGTGTTCAGTACATTCTTCTCAGGAAATGCTGAAGGTGAGAAATTGTTTTCTTTGTTTTCCATTTGTGTGATGTGTTTAGTACTTACTTTTTTGCAGCTCCTTTTTTTTCTTATATTTGATAAAATTATATAGTTTTATATACTTAATTATGTGTGTAACATTGGGATATTACATACATGTTGTTAAACTCACCCATGAGGCTAATTCTCTGGTTTTGTAGTTTGTTGCCTTCATGCAGATCAGTTTTCTTTTTGTGAATTCATCTGGTTGTCTCAGCAGATTCCTATAGTAATCCAGAAGAAGCCACTGTTGAGAATATGAGAACAACCACAAACACAGACAGTTTCATATTCTTCTTTGTAGTGATTATCTCACAAACTCACTTTTAAAAGTCTCTGAAACTTAAATGAAAATTTTTAGATTAATATGTGAAACTATAGCCTCCATATACATCCATGTGTTGTAATCTCATGACTCTAGTGTGAGTCATGTTTTAATTTGGATGAGATATTCTGCAACATTCATTTTATTTCTTTTAACTCAACAGCAGATAAACCTAGAGCCACACTGAGAGCACACAGTTCAGTCATACCAGCAGGGGGCAGTGTGACACTGAGCTGCTCTGTGGAGGGCTCTGCTGGCTGGAAGTTTGACTGGTTCAGACGTGATTCACAGTTTTATGGAGCTCAGATAATAGGAGCTGGAACATCAGAGCACACTATCAGTATTTCAGAAGGAGGCATCTATTACTGCATTGGAGGGAGAGGAGATCCAGTTTTCTACACAGAGTACAGTGCTCCAGTTACAATTCAGAAACAACGTGAGGGTGAAATTTTGTTGTGAAACACAGTAAAACAAAAATTCATGATTAAATTAAAGTAGAACTTTGTAACTTAGATTTTATTTCGTTCACTGTTGGTTTGTTCATAAATATTTGTGTTTATTTGTTTGTTGAACAGTTTTAGCTGATGTGACGCTGCAGCACAGCTGGTCTCAGATATTCACTGGTGAGACAATCACTCTCAGATGTGAGATTCAGGGAGGTGAAGGAAAGGTGTGGAAATATGAATGGACAGCACCCAACACAAACAGCCCTCCAACATCCAGTGAATACAGGATCAGCAGAGTTTCAGTGTCCCACAGTGGAGACTACAGATGTCGGGGTAGCAGTGACTATCTCTTAACAGGATGGAGTGATGCCTTCACACTGACAGTTTCATGTGAGTTGGACCATGATTCATGCTGACATTTCATGTTTTCATGTTTACATCTGTCTACTACTCTTTGGAGTTCATTCAAAACTGAACTGGTATTTGAAGTTTGAATATTTATTTTGTTGTTAATTAATTAATTTTGTTATTGTTATTTTCCCCAAAGTAAATGATAACATGATGTATGTTTTCCTGTATCTTCAACAGCAAGTAAACCCAGAGCCACACTGACAGCACAAAGCTCAATCCTACCAGCAGGGGGCAGTGTGACACTGAGCTGCTCTGTGGAGGGCTCTGCTGGCTGGAAGTTTGACTGGTTCAGACGTGATTCAGTCTCTTCTAAAGCTCAGCTCATGAGAGGAAATGAAGCAAACAGAGTTATTAGTGTCTCACAAGGAGGTCTGTACCACTGCAGAGGAGGGAGAGGAGATCCAGTTTACTACACAGAGGACAGCAGTGACGTCACAGTTGTGGAGATTTGTGAGTTTTAAACTTTCTGTTATTTAAGTTTGTCATGTGTTTCATACAAATGTAAAAATAAACATTGTGGCATCAACTCCAAAAAAAACCTGCATATTTATCGCTCATTAGCTGCTGTTAGTCTTCAAATTGTGTTTTATTAAATATTTTTGGCCTCTCTTTCTAAATGCTTCTTTATCCTAAACTGACTTTAAGTGGACATGAAAGACTACATGTATTAAGCCACAGAGCCATTAAACAAATAAACAAACAAACAAACAAACAAACAAAAATAAAGGTTAATCCTGAACATGTTGCCATCCGAGGTCATCAACAGCTCAGCTAACATCAGGTCAGATCAGGGTCGGTAACCCGCGGCTCTTCCGCCCCTCAGCTGTGGCTCCCGCAAGCTTTGGGTGAAAAAATGAAAAATAAAAGTCCCACACAACATCCCCAACATCTGCAGGAGGAAGTTTACAGAGTGAGAAAAAGAAAAGTGTGTTTATAGCAGCAGCTACTGCAGCCAGAGAGAGTCTGACAGGCCCAGCTGTGAGCCACATGTTAGTATCCAGCTGTTCACTGTGTTCACCGCCTCCAGAGGAAGAAAGTGTGCTGCTGTGACCTTCCCTTGCCTCTCTCCATCTCTGCACTTTGCCATAAGTTGACCCAGAGCAGAAAGCTAGTTAGCAGCTACGAGGCAAACTCAGAACACTGAGCATCAGCCAGAGGTCTCCGTGGGTCAGAGCCGTGGATCTGGAGATAAACCTGCCGTTCTGACACTCATGTCAACACGACAAAGTCTGCTTTCCATAAGGAGACAAATTTGTGTTGAAAGTATTACAAACACACACGACATGATCAACAAGCAATGATTTGTGACTTGAAAGCAGCTCACATTTGTGGATCTGTGTGAAGCTGGCAGTTAAATTAGACTCAAAACCCCACGTGGGCACGAGACGTGATCTGTGGTGTCAGGTGATTCGTCCACATGTATTTAAGCTGTTGTGAGCTGTGTATTATCACCAGATATGCTGTTATTGTGCAATAAATATCTTTATGTTTTCGACCCTGAGCTGATGTATTTTATACTCAGGGCTGCCCGTGGCTGCATGAAAACAACAGAAGATGATCGCTCATTGAAATGGACTGAAGACATAATTATATACAAATAGTTTTCATGATTATTCTTCTTATTTTACAATTATTGGACCACAGCTACATTTTATTTACTTATTCTGAAGTCAAACAGACCTGCAGAATGATGCTTTATTTAAAGTAGGCCTGCACAGGCCTGTGCTGTTTTTCTCCTCTTTAAAGTTTTTGTTCAAAAGTTCTTAAAAGGTAAAAAAGCTCTTCTTCTTATTAAGACATCTTGTATTGTATTAAGTATATTTATTATCATCCTGAATTATGGACGATGAATTTTAAAGAAAGAAATCTGAAAAACAATCTGGACGTTAAAATTTGTGCCTCAATGATCAGCAGTTACTCAGGTTTGTGTCGACACATTTGTACAATAGTTTGTGTGAACTGGAGACCTGAAAAGTTGCACACAGATCACTGCACACATCTGTAAATCTTACTTTCTGCTTGTGAATCATATTATACACAGTTGTACCACTTTCAAGGTAAATTTGTTGCCATAAAAACAAGGATATACTGTCCACCTTCACTCCCTGTCTCTGTAGCTGTAAGTGGTTCTTCAAAGGGAAAATGCAGCTGTTAGCTGTAATGTTAGGATTTGTAGATCACTTTATAAATGTGGAGTGTGTGGAGAACAGGCTGTGTGAGTCAGATACACCGGTGGGCCACCACACACGTGTACCACACGGTAAATAAATGTAAACACTGACTTTTAAATCCAACTTCATTTACAGTCAAAGTGTCACCAGGATGCAGTAAATCTTTCTCCTCTGAACAACAGCAAAAAGAAAGTCAGGCTTCAAAATGACTTCATGTTTCTATTTGTCTCTAACTGGATATTTTTCTGTGAACAGTTCCCAGTAAGCCCACTGTGACCCTGCAGCCACCCTGGACTCAGATATACAGCGGTGAGACAGTCACTGTCAGATGTGAGATTCAGGGAGGTGAAGGAGCTCAGTGGACGTATGAATGGAGAGCAGCCAAGTTAAACACACCTCCAACATCCAATGAATACAGAATCATCAGAGCTACTGAGTCTGACAGTGGAGGATACAGCTGCTGGGGCAGGAGGGACTATTTCTTCTCAGAGTGGAGTGATATCATCACACTGACTGTGTCATGTAAGTTTCATCTAAAGGAGGGAAAAATAAACATTTACTTTTATTGCTGTCTTTAATGCAACTTTTTCTAAACTGAACTGCAGATAAACCAAAGGCCAAACTGAGAGCTGATAACACAGCTGTTCCAGTACGGGGCAGTGTGACCCTGACCTGCTCTGTGAGCCCATCATCATCATCTGGATGGAAATACTACTGGTACAGAGATGAGAAATCCTCTGAAGCCCTGAACACACAAGATGCAGTTTTCCACTCAAATGGACAAATCAGTGTCTCACAGGAAGGACTCTACAGGTGCAGAGGAGGAAGAGGAAACCCAGTTTACTACACAGAGGACAGCCAGTCAGTCAGGATTGGGAAAACTGGTCAGTTTAACATGAAGTCAGATAAATTCCTGATTAAGGAGGAAGATGAAGAACAAAAGGCATTAACATTTTTGACATTCACGTGTTTTTATTGTACTTTCTTGAACAGTAACAGCCTCAAACAGGCCTGTTGTGACTCTGTATCCAAACTGGTCTGAGATATACAGAGGAGAGACGATCACTGTCAGATGTGAGATCCATGGAGGAGACACTGAGTGGGATTATGAGTGGGAAACAAACAGCATGATAAAAGCTCCAAATCAAAATGAATACAGGATTAGATCTGCTTCATCATCCAACAGTGGAAACTATCGCTGTAAGGGCAGAGTGAAAAGTTCACAGCATGAAACAACAGAGTGGAGTGATTCAGTCACACTGACAGTTTCTGACAGTAAGTAGAGACATAGTTCATTTAACCTGGAAATAGAAACAGTTTGTAAAAATGTGTTTTTATTAGTACATGTTGAGTCAAAGTCATTCGTGAAACAATCTGACAATCTGATGAACTTTTTCCTGTAACTACAACAGCAAGTAAACCCAGAGCCACACTGACAGCACAAAGTTCAGTCATACCAGCAGGGGGCAGTGTGACACTGAGCTGCTCTGTGGAGGGCTCTGCTGGCTGGAAGTTTGACTGGTTCAGACGTGATTCAGTCTCTTCTAAAGCTCAGCTCATGAGAGGAAATGAAGCAAACAGAGTTATTAGTGTCTCACAAGGAGGTCTGTACCACTGCAGAGGAGGGAGAGGAGATCCAGTTTACTACACAGAGCACAGCAGTGACGTCACAGTTAGAGAAACTCGTGAGATTAATAATTTTATTGCTGCCAAACTGAGAGATGTTATTTTGTGTTCTGTGCTAACAATTTCATTCAACAACTGAGTTTATTAATCCTGACAAATAGAAGAATTTATTCCATCTTATTTTTTTATCTTCATGTTTGTATTTGTCTCTAACTGGATATTTTTCTGTGAACAGTTCCCAGTAAGCCCACTGTGACCCTGCAGCCATCCTGGACTCAGATATACAGCGGTGAGACAGTCACTGTCAGATGTGAGATTCAGGGAGGTGAAGGAGCTCAGTGGACGTATGAATGGAGAGCAGCCAAGTTAAACACACCTCCAACATCCAATGAATACAGAATCATCAGAGCTACTGAGTCTGACAGTGGAGGATACAGCTGCCGGGGCAGAAGGGACTATTTCTTCTCAGAGTGGAGTGATATCATCACACTGACTGTATCATGTAAGATCTTTCATCCAGAGTATCTAAATAAGGAAAACGCACTTCTTCTTTCTTACAGCTTTATAACTGTCTTTCATGTTGGTCAGTAAAATGTTTAGTTTTTATTCCAACAACAAAAACCTGAACAGCAGCTTTTTATTCACAGTGAAGAGAACAAAACATATGAGAGTAACTTCTCTGCTGTGCAGCTCTAATACATGAAAGATGAAATGCAGAAAATTAAATATGAAAGATTAGTGCTGTATTTGTGTGATAGTTGTACAGTTTGTTGCAGCTTCACCATTAAAGTTATGTGATATTTATTATTTCCATATTTCCACCAAGTTATTTCAACTGGTTTGATTCAGTCATTGACTTTTGTTCTTTTTCTAAACTGAACTGCAGATAAACCAAAGGCCAAACTGAGAGCTGATAACACAGCTGTTCCAGTAGGGGGCAGTGTGACCCTGACCTGCTCTGTGAGCCCATCATCATCATCATCTGGATGGAAATACTACTGGTACAGAGATGAGAAATCCTCTGAAGCCCTGACCACACAAGATGCAGTTTTCCACTCAAATGGACAAATCAGTGTCTCACAGGAAGGACTCTACAGGTGCAGAGGAGGAAGAGGAAACCCAGTTTACTACACAGAGGACAGCCAGTCAGTCAGGATTGGGAAAACTGGTGAGTTCAAAGTTAATGAACCCCAAATCACTACATTTGATGGAAATTGACCCATTTTATCACTCATTTACTCATTTTGTTTTTATTAGTACATGTTGAGATATTTGACATGTTTAGATAGTCTCACTCTTAAAGTTCATCATAAATATTTGTGAGTCAACATTTTAGTGACATTGAATTCAGAGTTAAGAGACGAAAGATTGAGAGAAAATCTTTGTTGAACAGATGAACCCCGTCCTGTCCTCACTGTGTCTCCATCATGGCTGAGTCCTGGAGCCTCAGTAACTCTGAACTGTGAGGTTGAACATCCGTCTGCAGGGTGGAGCTTCTACTGGTATAAAGCTGTTCCTGATCTATCAGAGAAATCCTCCAGTTATGAGCTGCTACCTGATGGCAGTGGGACTGCACAGGACTCCTACATCATTCATGGACAGACACACACAGCAGGATATGTGTGCAGAGCTGGAAGAGGAGACCCAGAGTATCACACTGATCACAGTCAACCAAAGTTTGTCTGGTCTGCAGGTCAGCTTGGTTCTCTCTAATAAGTTGTGTCATCACTTTCATTCACCTTTCCCCCTCAACAATCTTGTTTTATAATCCTAACATCTGTGAGTTTTGTATCTTCACTGCATGTTGTTTCCAGATGTTCATTCAGCAGCGTCTCTCACAGTGAGTCCTGACAGAGTGCAACACTTCACCTCTGACTCTGTCTCACTGACCTGTGAGGGAAACTTCACTGAGTGGAGAGTGAGGAAGTTCTCTGAGGACGGCCAACTCTCTGACTGTAGGAGAATGACTGGATCCACATGTGACATCAACACATCAAAGTCAGATACTACAGTGTACTGGTGTGAGTCTGGATCAGGAGAGTTCAGCAGTGCAGTCAACATCACTGTACAGAGTATGTTATTATACATTCATCATGTTCTTTTGGTCATTTTTTCCCCGTTTATGTTATTTATTAGCTCATAGTGTTTCCCCACTACGGTGCTGTTTGAAAGTAAATCTGTCAAAAAGAGTCAAAAAGTGGGACATTTAGGCAATTGTAAGTCTTATTTTAGCTCGACCCTTATCAGTGAATAAGCAGTAAATGTCATGAAAAAAAGAAAAATTGTTTTCATAATTCTGCTAGAGGTGGGGTCGCCGCTGCATAGAGTTTTCAGAGTACCAAATATTCCTTTTTAACATATATACTAAAAAAAAAAATTAATAAAAAGAAAATCATAAACTCAACAGAAACCCATCAAATCAGAGTACATCTAAAATAACACCTCATGTTCCTCTTTTCTTGTGTGGCTGTGTTTGATATGTGCTACTGCATAAACAAGCAGCTGGTGAGTAGACAGATTTGATTTGGAATGTCTTATGAGATTAACGTTTGGTGTCTAAGGCACTATATATTTTATAGGTCATATGTATATTTGGTAAAAAAAAAAAAAAAAGTTCCTTTTAGGAAATGTACAGTAGTTCTTCAACACATCACAACCCTAACCTTCAGAAAACCTTCAAAAAGCTGAAGTTGCCAAAATAACATGATGATGTGATTTTTGTGACCTTCAGCTTTTTTTTTCTCAAGGTTACCCACTGACTAACAGGAACATCATTCATTATTTCACAGATAATTATTATGGTCCTATCCTGGTGAGTCCTGTTCATCCTGTGACTGAGGGAGCTTCTGTTAGTCTGAGCTGCAGTTTGAGAAAAACACAAAAAATACTTTCTAATGTGTTTTTCTATCACAATTACAAACTTATTCAAAATGATACCCGAGGAGAGCTGAAGATCTCTGCAGTGTCAAAGTCTGATGAAGGTTTCTACAAGTGTCAGTACTCAGGAAGAGAGTCAGCACAGAGCTGGATGTCAGTTAAAGGTGAGCAGGATCAAAACATTTGATGGATTTCTGAAAATGATTAACATAGCCACCATAGAGTATATTAATGAGTATGTGTTTGTCTTTCTTTCACCTGACTCTACTTTCGTAAGAACATTTTTAGAAAGATTTCTCAAGTCTCTAAATGTTTACTGCTAATGTTTACAGTCACAGTAGCTCCATCAGGATCTAAAAGGACTTCATGTCCTGTGTGGTTGGTTGTTGGACTTGTTTGTGGAGTCTCTCTTCTTCTTATTTTCCTGCTTGTAATGTATCGCTATAGAAAGGCAAAGGGTGAGACATTTTTACAAATACATCAACATATGATGATGTCATGGCACAAAATAGAAGTAAAATAATTTGCACTGAGAGAAACAATACTTTTTTTTTCTCTTTTAACAGATT